GAACGACAAATGAATATTACTGAATATACACAGATATGTCAAATTTACGTGTATACGTATGAAAAATAAAAATAGTAGCAAATAGTAGTGAATCAAACCTTCAACCGTAAATTTGAATGATTTTGGTAGATAACGGTGAATATTGGAACATTTTTTGACATTACAGTCTAATGAATATTATTAAATATACATGGATATTTGAGATTGACGTGCATACCAGTAAATTAGTGCAGATTGTATACCTAGTCAAAAAATGTTCCAATATTCACCGTAATCCACCAAAATCTGCCAAAATCCTTCGAAAGTGATTCAAATTTTCGGTTGAAGGTTTGATTCACTATTATTTTTATTTTTATTTTTTCAGAGTTATTTGCGTTCTGCAAAATCGCGTGAAGCCCCTAGAGATTTTAATAATAAACCAAAAGCTCTGTATTATTTCTAGGGGGAAAAAACTGAGTAAATGAAAATATAAATATTTTAAATAATCGCATATTCTACCGAATTTTGATCAATACGCGTCAATGCGTGTCAATACGCTGAATAACTAGCTGTGAATTCATGCAAATATGGTCAATAAAATGTGCGTATTTGCAACTGTCATTCCTGCTCGCCACGAACGAGACGAAGCAACAGAAGAAAACAACAACAATAACACTACGGAACGCAGTGCAAATGTCTGTGAATATTTGTCAATACGTGTCAATGAAGTAAATATACCAATAGTTCTTTCCCCCTAGTATTATTTACTTCTCTGCATCACCATGTGTACTTTGTACAGTGAGGGCCCAGATCATCGGCCGAAATTCCGCTGCGGAAAGAATGTCAGTGAATAATACAGAGGCCTACGGATGGATTGAGCAAAGCTTTCTCAGTCTCAGGGCCTCCGCGAGCGCCTTCGGCGCCTCGGGGCAAGATATGTCGCAGCGCCTTTTACTTAGAGAGAAAAAGAGGATAAATTTTTTCTATGAGAAATGCGCTCTTTTTTATTTTTTCTGCGCCTTTTCTATGATGAATATATGCGCTCGAGCGCCTTCGGTGCTCTCGCGGCTATGAAAAAAAATGCGCTCGAGCGCCTTTTCAGCGCCCTTCGGTGCTCGTGGAGGCCCTGACTCAGTCTCTCTCTCTCTCTCTCTCTCTCTCTCTCTCTCTCTCTCTCTCTC